GGCGGGTGGCGTTCCGGGCGCTCTACCACCTCGTGGACAAGGAGCACGACAGGTGAGGGGAGCAGCCCTATGGAGCATCCCTATGGAGCGGCCCTATGGAGCAGCCCTATGGAGCGGCCCTAGGGAGCAGCCCTAGGGAGCGGCTCTGCCGAGGGGAATAGCCCTATGGAGCAGCCCTATGGAGCAGCTCTGCCAAGGGAGCAGCCCTATGGAGCGGCCCTATGGAGCGGCTCTGCCGAGGGAGCAGCCCTATGGAGCAGCCCTATGGAGCGGCTCTGCCGGGGGGCTCGTGCGGGCCGGGGTCTCTTAGGGCTCAGCCTGGCAGCAGGGGATCCGGGGGGCTGTTCCCATCGGGAGCTGCCGTGCCGGGGCCGTGGGGCTCACCCTGCCCCACATGCCCGGCAGGGAGGGCTGGACGTGTCCCCGTGCCCCGTTCCTGCCGGGCAAACCTGGGTAATGACGCAGTGATTTTCTTGCGCTTCCAGCGGCGAGGGCAGCCATATATCCGGACAGAGCAACGGCAGAGACCCCCAGGCCCTGGCCAAGGCCGTGCAGGTTCATCAGGACACTTTACGTACCATGTACTTTGCTTGAAAGCCTAACTTTTGTTACCTCACTCGAGAAAGCTTTCAGATTTGTAGGAGCCATACAAAAAGGAAGCATTGGGACACCTTGGTTTTTTTCCAATGAGAAATCACTGCAGGGCAGGCAGCGTCGACTGGGGCAGGAGACCAGCACCACGGGACAGAAAGATCCAACACTTTGTAGGATTGGAAGAGACTGATGATTATTTTTTTAATTTTTCTGGCTTTGCAAAATTTTGACCTGACCAAACACACGAAGGCATTCAAGGAAGGGATAAAGCTCCCAGGAGGCAGAAGCAGGTTTTCATTTCTAAGATGCAATACTCTAGACTGCTGACTGTGAACTGGCGGATTTGGTCCTCCGTTGCCCACCAGGCGCTGGTAGGTATTTTTGTGGGGTTGGGGGGAGGGGATTTTTAGAGCCTTAAAACAGAAGACTAGATTTATAAAACTAATATTTTAGAATATGAGATGCTTTAACGGGTTAAGGGGAAAAACAGCTAGTTTATAGGAGAATTCTAACACTAACAGTTCCCCCCCAAATAATTCCCCCCATTTAATGTAAGGCACCCTAGCACTTAGCTCAGAACTGAAACTGTCTTCCTCGTGTTAAAAGCTAGTTAGCTGCTGCCATTCGAAGCAACAGTCACAGACTTTTCCATGGGTGAGTGCCTTACTATGATGCTGCAAAATTTCCATGTTTTTAATCTTGTAAGGAAAACAGTAATCTCGTCTTGATGGTGGTCCATATTTCCATCGGAAGGAGTTAATTTTTATGGTCCTAAGTTGCAGTTTGTGTTAGATCACAACCTCATGGTGGTTAAACTCCATTGAAAGACATGCACTTTCATGTAGGACAAGTTTAATGGCTGCTGACCCATTTTTGTTTCCAATGTACTACTTTGTTATTTAAAACTGTTTCTGACAAATGGGGGCATCTTCACCCCCATGAGGACAGAACTTGCTATCGATTATTTTCCTTTTTTTTTTTTTTCTGACTTTCTATGATGGAAACCGGGATTTTTTTACTAAACATTATTTTTATATGACACTGAGTCTGTTGCCAAAATACACCAGTCCTGAACGTCTCCGAGTTTACATGGCGGCGCCGCGGCGGCTCCGGGCTCTGCTGCGCTCCCGCGGCGCCGCGGCCGCAGGTTCTGCGCTGGCTTCGCTGCTCTGGGGCTCCGCGCTATCACTGATCCCACGCGCAGGGTGTTCGTTCTGGAAGCGCACCAGGTTGCTCCTTAGTTACAAAGTGCTCTGTAACTGTTGTGGGGGCAGCTCCTCCTGGTTCGTGTTCATGAAAGCCCCTTGTGTTTGTCCTCTTTTCTTTTTCCCCCCAGCAGTGAGACAGTGGCTGCATTTCAGGCTCTTTTTGCTGTGCAGTGACCGTTCTGCAGAGCAGGGCAGTGCTGGCAGCTCCCTGTGGCGCGTGAGCTCTGCTCTGCTGTGAGAACGTGCAGGGCTTCCCCGCAGGAAGGGCCGTGCGTGCCCCGCTGCGGAGCTCCGCGGGAGCCGGCGCCGCGCGAGCTCCCCGCGCGCTGCCCTGCGCCGGGGCGCGCTCACGGCAGCACAGCACCCCTCCATCTCCCACTTACGGATGTTCAAACTTGCCTTGCTCGTTGTTCACAAGAACATTCATCACGCTGACCCATCGCTCTGTCCCAATACCAGGAATTCCCTCGTACTCGGTTTCTTTTCGGGCGACGTGTTTGTGCGTACACGCAGACATCACTATGCTATGCAAAGCGCGCGCCGGGCCGCCGCGGTGCGCGCGGCTCTCGCGTCGAGCACGGTTGTGTTTCTGCAGACCGCAGCGTTCGGCTCGTGCCCCGCTGCGCGCGGGGACGCTCGGAGCCCGCGTTCCGATACACAAGTGCCTGCACGGTGACACAAACCCAGCACCTCTCCCATCTCATCCCCGAGCCCTGGCTTGTGTTCAGTGACAGCAAAGTGATCTCAGAGGGGCTAAGAGCAGCCCCGGGGGTTACGGGCCAAGTTCTCTCTGCAAATCAGTTTGTTCACCAGCATTCTGACTGAAAGCACCTTGCTGCCCATCGGCAGCGAAGGGCAAAGGTATTTTGGTTTCTACTTTTTATTTTAATGTTTTAGTTGGGTCTAGAATCCTGAAATGTCTTTTAGTAGCTGTGGCATAGCACATGCCACTTTTAACCATTTGAAAAAAGATAGTGTGGGCATTTACAGAAACAGCTTTTTGCTCTGTAACAATTTTTTTTTTAACCTTGAGACTTGAAATGTAAAATGGACCTTTAAGATTTGCACTCATTTGTAAGGTGGCTGTTCATAGCAAACTATGAATGAAGACTTGCTGATGTAGCACCTACTTTTAACAGCAATTTTAACTACACAAAAGCTTCACGGCTTCTGAAACTCTCGGCAGTTGACTTGCAGATCGTGTTCTGCCCTAATTTCACCCTCTGCGTTGGGTTTTCATGGTTTAAAATAAATAACTAAAGCCAAACTCAGCTGCTGTGCCCTTTAAGGCCGTGTTTCCATTTCGAAGAAGCTTGGAAGGGGTTTGAGCTACCCGCATGTTTCGTAGAATGGACTATGCACTAGAGCTTCCCCGCGGCTGCAGCACTCAGTGTTCCGAGCCGGTCCTTGCCCAGGGTGCGCATGAGCAGCTGCATGTTGAGGTGCTGTGCGTTTCGCTACCCCCGCAGATAGGTGTTACCCCGCGCACGACTCGCGAGCTGTAGCTACCGCAGACCCCGGGCGCTGCCTCCTCCGCGCGCGTGTCCTTGTGCAGCTGGAAACGCGGCCGAGCGCGCGCGGCGCTGCGGGAAGAGGAGGAACTTCCATTTCCCTGCCAGGTGTGGAATGCTCTTTGCTTCCCTCGTTTCATCCCGCCCGTAACGGGGTGCGCGGGGGCAGCTTACGGGGACGGCCGCGGGTTCTGGTGTTTGCAAGTGCGTGACCCGATGCCCAGGACTGAAAAGCCCAAGTGTTCCGCGTTGCCTCACGGAAGGTTTTCTTCTTGGAAAATGAGCGTGAAATCAAAGAACGGGATTCGTCCAGGAAGGGAAGCCAGACAGCAGGACAGCAATAAACAAGTGAAATTCATATCTTGCCTGAGTGATTTGCACTTCAGTAGTTGTGAAAGAAAACTGACGGGGATTCCAGTGCTTTTGTGTTCAACCTCTATCCCCTTCGTACCTCCTTTATACAAGCAAGTGTTGAACTGTACTTGGAGTGTTCGCAAGACACTCTCTTTGGGTTGTTATTTTTCTTGTGTTTTTTTTTGCTTTAGCTTGAACTCTGTATGATCCATTCTGTTGAATAGACGTGAACAGTTGATGTACAGTACTTACTAAACAAGCAGCAGCACAAAACTTATTTTATTAAGAAAATATGGCTTATATTTTAAAGGTTGAGTATCTTTTTTTCTTTCTTTTTTTTTTTTTTTTGTATGCGTGGAATTAAGACTGGTAAAGAGTAACAAAATCCTTGGATTAGGCCAAAATACTGTAAGATCGTAACCACCTCTTTATTAAAGAAAATGGTATGATTAAAGAGCTCCAGAACGTTGTATTTATATTTGATTTGATTGCCTTTGGGTTTGTTTGTTTGTTCTTTCTTTGCTTTGGTCCGGATTCTTGCTTGCAACTTTGGCTTTGCAGTCCCCAGTGTCTGTTACCCTGTAACTGTTGGCAGAAGAGCTAATAAAAGCAATGTGAACGTGTGGGGGGCCGCTCCTGAGTCGGATTCCACGGGCAGGACAAAGGCGCTCCCAGGCCCGGCAGGTTCCGCGGGAAGAGCTCGGAATCGCGAAACGCTGACGGTAGCTGCGTTACGCCAAACATGCGGAGGATCCCAAACTCCTCCGCCTCCAGCCTGTCGCGATTTAACGAGAGAAACACTCCAGTGAACAAGTTTGCACTTAGAACTTTTTGGAACACGACAGGCAGTTCCGTTTTTTATTAAAATACCACCTCTCGGAGAAGTGATGCCAGTTGAACTCCTCATTATCAGATGTCGGAAGCGTGCATCCAAGTACACTGCTCCTCCAGCCGCTTTGGGGCTTTAGTCTCATGGACTTCAGTGGTTTTGAGACAGGTAATATAAAGGCAGAAATGTTCTCTGGGTCTGGCATGATTCAAATTCAAAATCCAATTAAAAGTTGTTATTTACTTTTTACCGTTATCTTTTTTTTTTCCTGCCTTGTGCAGATGGCTCCCTGGTGTCTGTAAACTTGAGTGTGTTCAGATACATCTGCACATCTGACCTGACCTATTTGCAGAATTAAATAGCTGGTAGTCTACAAAGAGCCCCTCTCTTACCCACATAAGGTGATTTCACCCTTTTCTGGTTGAAAGAAGTTTATGGGTAGACATTTGCAGTGCCTGGGAGGTCTGCTGCGAGCCTGCGGGCTGCACGACTCCTCATTCATGGTCCTCTGGGTTACAAAAGGTCTTTGACTTCAAGGTACTTTAAGGACGTATTTCAGATCCCTTGTGGGTTGTCTTGCTCCCCTAGGTGTGTGTGCTGCTTAATAACCAGCATTTCCCAGCTCTGGAATGCCCTGCAAGCTTCCCAGTCCTCTCTGGCCCCATGCAAACCCTTCTGGTTATGTTTTGGGGCCCCAAAACGGAGGTTCCTTGCCACCTTCTCTCAATTCTTTGGATTCGCTGCTGGTTTCCTTTGCAAACATGTATTGGCATATCCTTAAAAGCTGAATTACGTATCAGTTGAACTGTAGCTGCGGGGTTTTGAATAATGCTGAGCAATTTTAGGGAAGTGCTTGTTAATGGCATGCACATACTTGCTAGCTCATTTACCTCATCTGTAGCATGAAGAATGTAGGATCCACACCGAGCAAAATCCGTGAAGATTTTACACAACTCCTGCTGCTTTCAGTGCTCTCTCACCAGGATCCACACCGAGCATCCGTGAAGATTTTGCACGACTCCTGCTGCTTTCAGTGCTCTCTCACTCAATGAGCCCTACGCGACAACACAACTATTCTGCAGCTCCAAGGGGACTGGTTCAAGAGAAGTGTAATAGAAAATAGTGTCCAGCGTAGATGGGTCTGAACCCCTGGGGAACAGATGAGCCTCCCTGGTGTGAGACGTTGGGCTGAGCCCGGGTCGCGGCTCCCTTGGTGTCCTGGGGTGCAGAGATCCTCCTGCGGCCACGTCCACCCCACCCTGGGGACCGTGCTGCCCCCCTTGTCTTTCACCATTTCGACTAGGAGATGCTCTAATAGTTCAATTTCCATGTTTTTCGAATCCTTGCTACTAACTTCCCGGATAAATTAGTTTTAAAAGTGCAAACTTGAGTTACCCTAGCAGTGTCCAGGAAGGCTGTTCTTTGTGATGTATTAACCGGGGTGCTGAATCTCAAAGGGACCTTCTCATGGTCCACATCTGCAGTTCTGCCGCTGCCTCCCCTGCTGTTCCCCTGGGGAAATGTCCCTACCCGGAGCGGAAAACGGGACATCATTTCTCCATAGGGAGCAGCAATTTTAAATCTG